CATGATATTGCAAGTAGATTAGAAAAAACTGATTCAAAAAATGCTGTATCCAGTAGTCTGGCAAATGTTTGCCAAGTTCTCATGTCGTACGGCATATTATTAATCGATTGTTATTGTTTTTTTTTTCAGGAAAAAGTCTTAAAATTTGTTCACGCTCAATTTTCCTTTTTTTCGCGGTTTGAGTTTGGTTTCTTAAGTTTAGTGCATTTCCATCGTTAAAAGGAAGGCAAACTTCACTATCAAACAGCATAATTGTAAAGGTCACAAAATGGAAATTAATTGTCAAATTTCCCAGCGAAATAAAAAATTTCACCTATTGGTCTATTTTTCTCAAATGGAGTTAATTTTAAAAGAAAACTTCAACATGAATTGTTGTACAATTTAAAGAGTTTTAGGGCCATCTGTTTTCGTCTTCGAAACTCAAAAGTTGAAGATTTTTGAAAAACCAGTCGGTTTTTTTTTCAGCTTTCTTGCGTTCATTACTCTTTTCCAACTGTCAGTTGGCTATGTTTGGAAAACTGCTGAATTTTATATAGGCCTTCCCCAAAAAAACCACCGTTTTCCCAGTTTCCAGTTTCCGTCAAATCGTTCTGGACGTTCAAAAGTAATTGTCACTAATATTTATATTCAAAATTTTTAACAATTGCCTTTTGAAAGATAATATTTTTCATCCTCATGCACATGCCTTTTGCGGAGTTTTGCGCAGTTTTTTTTCAATGAAAGCGAATCATGACTGAATTTTGCGTGGTTAATGTTTAATTCTGATGATTGCACGAATCAGCTGAGTCTAAGGTCAATTTCCATTCACTTCAAATACCGATTTGAAGTGATAGCCTTTGAGCCCTGTTTTGATTCAAATATGTATTTTTAACTATAGAAATTTTTATTTTTTACTTTGTTTTGCATATTATAGTTTTTCCGCTAAACCCACTATTATGCAAACTTACTTATTTTGAATTGCAGTTCGAGTTCGTTTCTTAAAAAGAAGGCAATTTGAGCTCTCTTGCAAAAAAAAGCCATGCTGTGAAAACAAGATTGTTTTTTAATTTCAAAAATATATTTGATTTTAAGACTTTACAACGGACACAAATCTGGTGTTAAATTTAGAATTTTCAATAAATTTTCAGTTTTTTCAGATTTTTAAAGATGATACAGTGCTTTCTCTATTCTGAAAAAAAAAGATTAATCATTCATTTCTTGGTTTTTTGTACTTGGTTTTGTGTCTAACTGTGTATTTTTTCTATTCTTTTTGAGCACTTTCTCGCCTTGCAAATTTCGAAAATTGGGAATGGTGAAAAGCGAGTTATACGTAATCACAACACACTTTTAACAAAACGATATCAAGATCACAAAAATTTTAGAAAGTCGCCGACAATAAAATTTCAGCATTTTATTGCATGATCTGTTTTATTTAAAATTATATACTAAAACTGATGATCCATTACTTCGTATCTTCTTACTTTCCTTTTGTCGCAATTAGGAATTTTTATCCCAAATAAACTTTAAATGGAGAAGGAAAACACCGCTCAAATAATCTAAAAAAGGGATCCTCGCAGCAATTTTGAGGTCCAATTTGTTGATAGCTTTTAGTCATAATATCTGTTTGAAAGGGTAACAGTCACTCGCGCTTGAATATTTGAATAAGTTGGAATACTCTAAAAATTTGCGCTTAAAATTTAAAAACATAATAGGCTAACGCATACCAAAATGCAATTTGCTTGAAGATTGCAACTGTTTGATTAAAGCTTTCCATGTTTTAGTTTCCCGTCTAACGCATACCAAAATTGCAACTTGCTTGAAGATTGCAACTGTTTGATTAAATATTTCCATGTTTTAGTTTCCCGTATCAGCATTCAATTCAGAAACAATCAATTGTCATGTGTTCAGCTCAAAAGCTGCAATTATATCAAATGTTTCTGCTTCTTCATTTTACAAAATAGTTTTTTTGTTTCCGGAACATTTTGATCAATTGCGATCTATATATTTTGGTTTTGTCAAATCCAATGATTTGTAAATCCTAATTATTTGATTTGAAAATTGTAATATTTAACAACCATGGTCCTTATTGCTAAAAAAAGTTGTACGAAATTGTTTTGTTTTCACGTCTTGTACTCATTATGTATTTTTTTTGTAAAAACTACTGTTACACACATTTTTGTTCCCACGTTTTCATGCATATTCTGTTTTTTTTTAATTTAATAGAAATGATGACCCATAATTTCGTAACGTTTTACGGTACTTTGTCCTAAATAAGACTTTTTATCCTAAATAAATCAAAAATGGAAAAGAAAAAAACCGCTCAAATAATCTGAAATACGGATCCTCGCAATAATCTTGAGATCATTTTCTTGATAACTATCAGTAAGAAAATAGTTTGAAGGGGTTACATGTTCTTGCGCTTCAAGCATAGAAATTTTATATTAAGTATCCCAAAAATTATATCATTCTAAGAGTATGTATTTGAATTTTGACAACATAAACGGCTAACGTATAACCAGATTGCAATTTTGCTGAAATTGAAACAAGATTGCATTTTTTATAATAACTTTTTTTTCAAAATCTGATTTGCTGTCAACGCGATCTTGAAGGTAGAAATGAGTTCAAAAACTTGTAGCTGAAGTCAGCAAAATTAGAAAATCCAAATAAATCTTAATTAGATTTTCTTGGATTTGATTATGATTAATTTTTTGTGCTTAGGAGTTGCGATTATATCGAATTTTTTCTATTGTTCATTTTTAACCAACGTAATTTCTGACTGGTACTTACTTTTTTTTGCGATTCACAGAGTTTGGTTTTCTATGCATTTTTCTCAATGACTCGCAAATCCCTGTTCCTATATTTAAATATCTGAAAATTTAGCAACCCTGGTTCTAATTAGTTAAAAAAATTAGTTAAACAGTATTTTTGTTGTTTTTCTCATGATATACTAAAACTGATGATCTTTTACTTAGTATCCTTTCTTTTTTGTCCAAATTTGGATTTCTTATCCCAAATAAATCAAAATTTCAGGGAAAACAGCAGTCAATAATCTGAACTACAGGTCTCGCCGTAATTTGAGGCCCATTCTGTTGCTAATTATGGGTAACAAAATCTGTTCGAAGATGTAACAGACACTGGCTCCTGAATTTTAAAACTTTAATTTTGAGTATTCAAAAAACAAAACTGTTGAACAAGATATAAAATGACCAACAAAACATTGTTTTAACAAAGTTTTCCCTTATTTTGGTTTCCCGTCACAGCGTTGTACAGCAGTTCTGGGGTTGTGTTTAAAAACAATTAATTGTAGCTGGAGGCAAGAAAAAAATAGTTTCTTTTTCTTGGGCTTGATAATGACTTTATTTTTATGCTTAAGAACTGCAAATCCATCAAATTTTTTCATTTGTTCTTTTTTAACAAACATAGTTTTGTTTGCCCTACATATTGTTCCTATTCGATCCACAGAGTTTAGTTTTTCTTTTTTTTCTTCTGATTTGCAAATCTCTTTTTTTTGCTTTCCTAATGATATTCTAGAACCGATGACCCTTTATTTGGTATCGTTTTTTTCTTTTGTCCTAATTTTTTATCCCAAATAAATAAGTGGAGAGGGAAACCACCGCTCAAATAATCGGAACTACAGGTCCTCGCAGTGACATTGAGGTCCATTCCGTTGATAACTACAAGTAACAAAAGCTGTTCGAAAAAGTAACAGACTATTGCACTTCAATTTTTGAGTTTTATTTTCGAGTAATGAAAAAACAAAGATAATTCTATTATTTTGCGCCTGAAAACTAAACTTTTAATTAGTTAGCGTATAACAAGATTGTTGAAAACAGGTTTTCAAGTTTTTTTGTCTACATTTTAGTTTCCCGTCACAGCGTTCTACAGTTCTATTGAATTCAAAATTAATCAATTGTAAATGGATGCAACAAAAAATGGAATGAGATTTTCTCGGATTTGATTACTTTTACTTTTTTTGCTTAAGAACTGCAATTATATCAAATGTTTTTACTTTTAACAAACATAGCTTTTCTACCGGTACGTATTGTTCCGATGCGATCCCAGAGTTTGGCTTTGCACTACTTCCAAAGAATCGTAAATTCGTCTTCTTTTGTCGTTTCATTCTACCTTTACAAAGTTTTTTCGTAATGATCAATTTTTTTATGAATGCTAAAATGAAGCGTTCTTCTATATTGAAACAACAGATTGCGCTGAAAATGTGATTGACTTTTAGTTTCAGAAAGGCAGCTGTTTTTGAGACTACCTAGCGAGAAAAACTAATTTTCGTTCGGATATCGGAAGTTGATTTAGCTTTATCAAAAGTGTCAACCATTAATGATTTTTTAAACTCAATGAACTTCAAGACGACTTAACTTTTTTAAACTTTCTGATCAATTCTGAGGTCTACTTTGTGCATAATTAAATCTAAGAAAAACCGTTTGACCAGGCTACCAACAATTGAGCTTTGATTTTAAATTTACCTTGCGGTTTTAGAAAAGATTAAGTGATGACGTTAGATTAATGCGTCTCTTGATTTTTTTCTTGTAAATAATTTAAAAGCCTCTATTTTTAAAGGTTGCTTTCAAGTTTTTGGCGGTTAGAAATCGTGTTAAAAAGGGTTTTTCGACTTGATTGGCAAAATTTTTGAATGAAATTTATGTAGGCAGGCCGACCATGAATAGTCCATAAAATTTTTCAGGTAGGTTCGTATCATGCATAGCTTACGGCATGAAAAAAATGGTTTTCACTTGGATTCAAAATTTATTCTTTTTATTGCTATAAGCAATTATATAATTTTTTCTTAAATTTACCTGGCATTTGGTTTAAACTGCCTTATATACTCGCAAAAGCCAATCAACAACCACTAATTGAATTGACCTTTAAAATAGAGCACATAAAATTGCATTTTTTCTTATACTTAAAAAGATAAGGCGTTGTTTCATTTTGCGACGATAACTTCTTTTAGTTTCATGTGAAAGTAATAATTTTACTGCTCAATTTTGAAGCTGTTTTAATTGCTCATAATATTTCTTTCTGTTCTAAACACCTGTTTTGGTTTAATATATACAATATTATGCAACGCAATATTTGACCACAGCTATACCAGAAAACGTGTTGTAATCAAGCTGCTTATATCAGCAAAAATCTTACAATATCTGTGAATTGTTTACTTTGATTGCCATTATGGACGAAAAAAATGAAGTAAATGGAGAATTGGAAGACGCTGAACTTACTAATGGTGAAGCAGTAATTGAAATTACGATTCCTGACGTCGAAACAGCCCAACAGTGAAAACATCTGAGAAATATGTTGAAAACCATCAAGGAAAAGCGGGAAAAAATCTATATTTGAAACAAAATATGAATGAAAGATTTCAAAAAAAAATTTATGATTGAATTACCAAAAATTTGGTTCTTAAAAGTAATTAACATGGTTAGATTTCGGAAACATTGATGCAATAATTTTCCACAATTGATTTTTTTCTTTTGTGAGCAGAATGTTTTCGCTAGCTTTCCTGTCGACAAGTCAAAAGGAGCAGACGAAACTGAACCCGACTTCAATGATGTGAACAATATAAATGACGCCGAAACCGACTCGAAGCCCGCAGTGCAATTCGTAAAAAAGAAAAGGCATAAAAAGGTTTCCGAAACGCATGTCCATTTTTCACAGTCTGTTATGAAGAAAGACGATGCGGGCTCATCAGTAGTTACCATCGGTTAGTGTATTACAGTTTACCCATTGTGAATAATTTTGATGAATTTGACGGCAACTAAAACGGACATTGTGGACGATAGCAATATTAGAAGGGAGAAAAAACTGTTAGTTTTTCGAAAGGCGTAACTTCGTGCAATTTTTTTTTTGAGGAAGGGGGTATGTATTTCGGTTAGCACCTAAAACCCAATTTGAAAGACTTAAAAATAAAAGAACGAAGCTTTTTTTGTGAAATGAAAATCCGCCCCTGAAAAACTGCTGGATTTGCCTTTTTCTTAACCAATGACGTTCTTCAATACTTTGGTTGAAGTATAAATCCCGGTATTTTAGATTTATCAGTGAGCAGATTTCAAACTCAAAACCTTCATTAGTTTCTGGTAATGGCAAACATTCTCTTTTTTTTTCAAGGCCACAATTCCTTTTCCAAATACAGGCGAATCTCGGGTTTGGTTATTAGTAAAGTTTTCTAGCTCGATCAACTGTAGATGAACCAGATGTGTCAATCAAGCAATTGTCTGCCCAAATTCCTACTAGTAGACCCAATCAAGATTTCAAAGAAAAATGGAAATACTCCCTGATTGGATCATGCTTTTCCAAACCATACCGTGTTCCCTTTATCACGCTGTTTTGTCCAGTGTATACGGAATATAAACTGGCAAGGATCACTTCTAATTTCCAGAAGGCCAAAACTATGCTGTGGATGTTCGTCACTTTTTGGCTATCAGCTGCTTTGATTTGTGTCGTCACTTTTGCTTCATTGTAAGTGTCTTAGATGGTTAAATAGGAGGACAGGAAATTAAGACGACAAGACATTTAGACGACTTTTTTTCTTCATTGCAATCCAATCACTTGTCTTAAAATTATACTATGTGGAAGTTGGTAAAAAAACTTGAAAATTTACAATATTAGTTTTTGAAAAAAAAATCAGTTTTGCCAAAAAATATGGTTAAATCGTGCAATACCATTTAATGCATTCAGTTCAATTACTTTTTTTGAGCAAACAAAGTTGAGTTATGCAGAACTGATTGTTTTTCTTTTTAAGATGATTTCTCACACGAACTTTAACTTCTCACATGAGCTTCATAAATAATTAATTCTTACAAACTTCCTCATAATTGAAGCCGTTTCACAGATTAATTGTCTCCTAATACTTGTCGTTGTATTGACCCAACACCATTTTATTGTCGTTAAATTATTGCAACGCAGCAACAAAAGCTTTATGAACCAAATGCTTACGCCTTTTTATAGCTCTATGAACCCAATGCTTAAGCCTTTTTAACATTTTCGAATCAATCCTTTGAATGATAAAAAATTCATATGCTTAAATATATTTTTGTTAAACACAAAATTCTAACACGAGAGAAAAAAAAATCAGTACAAAGATAACATCTTCTCCGCATAGCGGTGTGAGGCAAAGATGCTAACTTGATTTAATGTTCGAGTTTCATTCAACCAAGATCGATTATTTAAAAGCAACTATCGGGGTACCAAGTATACAATCTACACTCAAAGCAGTTTAAAACGAGGACGATAATTTGATTGTAAATTGAAGTTTCAGATAATCTGAATTAAGATTTTGTCATGAAATTTTTTGAATTGTTTGACATTTAACGGAATGAGTAAAAACACTTTGTTAAATGTAATTTTGCCGCAAAATTGAAGCTTTGCAACCCAACTTTTGGTCAAAGGAAAGTCTTTTATTGGTTAGGTATTTCTGAACAATCATTTGTTTCATCCGATGAATCTGTTTCTGTTGTCGATCGGTGCAAGGCAAGAGATTTGATATGAAGATTTGATCGAGATCGATGTTAAAGATAATTTACCAAAAATCTAGGTAAATAGTTGTTATCAGTGGGAAAAGTACACATCGAAAAAAAACAAGGTATATTATTGGGGATAAATGTTTTTTGCTTACGTGTTCCCACGTTTTTGGTAATATTTTACCAAAAATATTTTCGACGTATATAGCATCGCTTTCACGGATAGGACTGATTACTATCATGAGAATCTATCATGGTTGAAACATTGTGACAGCTCGTTAAGCTCAGCTGATAACAAAGAGACAGCAAAAAAAATAATTGCTTCTGAACCAAATTATTAAGCCTCAACAGATCAGAAAAGTTTATACATTTCATACAAAGAGCTCTAATTTCGATGATTTTTCAGATCTTACCATCCTCCCTCCTTTTCTGAGATAATCCGTCGGTATAGGATCTCCGTGGTATTTCGTTGGTTTTTAGAATCTTGAAGATAGTTTGGGTTCGTCTGAGACCGGTTCAGCTTGATCGTCTAGAGTTTTCAAGTTTGTTCTTCGTTTTCATGTTGCACTGGATTTTCATCATCGTGAGTGTAACTGGTTCCAACTGTGGTTTTGGTCTCCTGGCCGTATCTCGCAATCTGGTTGTCGATTACAATAATAGTACTATTAGATTGGTTGCATTAGATCCTTGATGTGTTGGTTGAACCTGGAATGATGAAAGTTGCTGGCTGTGCTTGCGTGTCTTTGTTTGGCTTGAACAGAATTTTTCACACACGTCAAAATCCATGATGGTAATTAACCTGATTGTTGTCCAAGTACGTTAGTGTTTTTCCCTTCTCTTTGGACATGATTCTAAGCGTCAATAGTACCCGCCGGAGACACGCAAAGAAATTGAAGGTATATTTTTTCGCCATGCCTTCATGACATGTTTAACAGTCGGGACCGCTCTTCCTGCTATTTCATTAGCTCTTGGGCGGTAGATCGTTGATTCTATATCGTGAATTGCCTGAGATATGCTCCATGTTTTGATATAATTGCTCACAAAGTTGGGTCCATTGTCAGTGACTAAATCTTTTGCAAAGACTACTGACGGACACATTTGACTGTTGGAGTGGCTCCTTCATTGGTCGGGAATGCTTCGATCCAGCCACTTCTTGCAATCAACAACCAATATGTTACCTTGCAGATATCTCAATTAGAGACAACTCGTTTCACGTCTTGTGACATGTGAAGCCACGAGGGAAGCGTTCTCAGAGCTTTTTCTCTTGCCTGTCTCCTGGATGCGTCTTGTGGGCATCGTCCATAACTTGTCTTCTGAATCTGGATAGTATGAAAGGTAGAGCGTTTTTGTAGATGACATTTTCTCGTATTGACAAGGTTTCAGCTTCGTTCTTGAAATGTGATTCAGCTTCTGAGCATTGCCTCCAATCACCGCTTCGTATCCGTTTAAAGACAGCATAATTTGATCGATTTGATTGAAGGTATCTTTTGATGTCGTTGAGCTTGATTGTCTGCGTGTCTGCGAAAAATTTGTCGTTCTGAAAGGGTTGTGATCTGTTTGTAACGCAAAGGGTTGTGATATGTTTGTAGAGCAAGCTTGCGCCCCAGTAAAAACTGATTCAGTCGTGTGACAACAAACACAATTGCCAAAGCGTCTCGTTAACGTTGGAGTAGTTTTTCTCTGCTGATGATAGAATTTAAGTTTCTCTGAAATTTAGATCACTGGATGTCTTTCCTGTGAGCGAGACCCGCCTGACTGCCTGCTCTGAAGCATCGTGGATCACAGTCACTTTTTTGTCCAGCGATGTGGCTTTCACAAGTTGTTTTGAGCAGAGTTCTTGTTCGATACTTTGAAAGTATTTGATCAGTTGGTTTTTCTACTCGAAGTCGTGACTCCGTAAATCATTAAACTGGAGTATTTTGAAGGCAAAATGATTGAAATGATTGAAATATTTTAGGCTTCGGGGGTTCCTTGGGGCTCTGAAAATTGTCAATAAGCCTATCATTAAGCTTATTTCCATCCGTTGAAACTGATTAGCCTAAAAACGTAACAGTTTTGAGGGATTTCCGCTTTAACTTGGTGAATTTTTTTTCTCTGAGTTGTCAACTATACATTTAATTCATAAGCAAACCAAAAAAGAATTTGAGTTGTTTTCACTCTAAAAAGGAAGTTGAATCCGACAGAAATGTTTTTGTGTGTGTGTGTTAATCAACAACGGTAGCAAGAATGTTTTACGATCGAATAACTTGATTCAATTTCATTGCAATTTGAAGTTGTTCATTAAAACTCAATACTTTTTGAATTTATTTTGTTAGGTTTTAGCTTAGTTTCATATAGTGTCATCAATTATTTGTTATGTTGAATCACTACATAACCGCTTTATTTTTGATCATATTTACGGCTATTGAGAAATAAAACTTAACAAGGGAAATTTGAAAGCTGTAAAACTAAAAAAACTCGCCATTATCTTTCCATCTTACCAATTAGATAAATTGCCCACAAAATGTTTTGCAAGAAACTCAGTTGCTCAATTTACTTAACAATTTTTTATCATGTAAAACACTCTGAAACCTTTTTCCCCTATTTTAATGCATCACTATATGTATACCCTATTTTAAGACACAAAGGCTGCAGTCGAGCCATAGCATATCCTAATACGTGAAACATTCCCTATGCTAATACATGGGATTTTGCACGCTGAAAACCCGAAAGTTATCATCTTAAACCTTGTATTTTAAATTCTAGAAAAGTTTATTACCCGTCTTGATACATGGAATATCTTATAGGCTATTTTAATACACAGAGTGGTGAGTGGGTAGGCTAAATTATAATCCATTTCCCATGCTCCCCCCCCATGTCTGATTTACTACTGTCTCAACCCCTTTTTTTTAACTTGTAAACCCTTTTTTTCTTTCGTTTCTTTGTTATGTAGAAAAGGGATAACATCTTAATTTCGTGTGCTTTGTTAAGTAAGTACAACCTCGTTTAGTTTTGTGTGTTGACTGTAGTAATGACAACCTGTCTGGCTTCATCAAGTACTCCCTTCTCTCCTTCTTCATCTTCCTCATGCTGTTCACAGCACTTCACCGCCTCCTCACTGTGTTCCGCTTCAGAGTCACCATCCGACACTTCTTCGCAATCAAAGGCTCATTTCTACGAGACCTCATTGAGGCATGTTCATTTTGACGTATTAGATTGAGGACAGATGGTTAAGGGTCTGCAATAGTCTTAGAATGAGCATATCTTGCAACAAGATTCTTACCACTAACTTTAAATTTTGCAAGATTCCTAACAATGACTTCAAATTTTGCAAAAAAAATTGAAGAATTTCAAATCCTGCAAGATTCTTCCCAATGTTACGCTTTCTTTTTCTCAACTATTAGTTTTTTTTCTCAAGGGTCCCCTGTTTGGTTTTATTTTACAAAATCCGATTTCTGTTATAGCATACACTAATTTTGAGGGGGAGCGCGCGCTCGCTGGTTAAAATCGTTCTTCTGAAATGCTCGAAAAAAACTTCGAGCACCAACACTACTATCACTAAATCACTCTTTCTCCCGTTCTTCAGGTGACCTTTTGTCGTCCGTGTGTGCTGTGTCAGATAATGGGGGAGTTGGAGAAGCAGAGGGAGCTGAGAGGGTCAGTGGGCAACTTCAGAATATCAGTGCACTACGAGCACGCCCCCAAAGCATGAATTGAAAAGCAAAAGCATCAATGGACAACAGCATAAACCTTTTGAAGGAATGAAATTGAGACCTTGAATAATTGATACTGTCATGTGAATGATTTCTCAAAAAATTTTAATTTTAGTTAAACCATTGTATTAATTTTAAAATTATTTAGTTTTAATAGCGGAGTTTTTTGATCTTCAACTTAAGTCTGCTGTTACTGAATTAAAACTATAAAAACTTGCTGATGAAACGCGCTATAGTCTTATTTATGACAAATTAAAAGTAAATATTTTTTCAACTGGCTTCAACTTGGTCATTTACTATCAAAACCTTGGTAGAACAATACTGGCTATATTTCATGGACAGCAATTTTATTTTCTGGCAAGTAATTTAATGTTTAGATAAAATGTTGTTTTTCGTCTTTAAAAAAAAATAATATTTGCCAGCACTCGCAACTTGCATCTATTAAAGCAAAAAAATTAATTGGACAAATTTTTTACTGATTCGCAAGAAACACCACTGATTAGTCAGTTTTCAAACGTTCTTAATCTCACAAAAAAATGCATTTGATTTCTCTTTTGTTTTTGAGCAAAAAGATTAGACTTTTTAAATTGCTGGGATAAACATAACACAATTACACCTATTCCGTCATAATCTTGGAAAATCGAAAAATATACATATCATGTTCATAATTTTTTCAAACGCATCATTGTTGCAAAAGGTAACGCCAACTTGCCTTTTCGTTCCCACTCTCAAAAAACATATATTTACGCTTGAGGTGGTTTTTTGGTAAAACCATTTATATATTTCAATTAAGCGTTGTTGCCTTTTGAATATAATCAATGATGTTTCTAAATAATTTCACTAGCACGACCATTATTTGCTTGCCATGAAATAACTCCTCCTATTAGGTGTTTCATCATATATTAATTCATCAAAAAAATCAAACTAAACTATCTCTTCTTTCTCTATGAAGCAAAAAAAGGGGCAAGCAAAAAATCAAAAAATTACTAGATCATACGTCAAAAAACGGCCAAAACTGTTTTTGATTAATCAAACGCCATCATATCTGAGCCGCTTATGCCATTCGACTGAAATTTTTTAAAAACCATTACTGCTTATCGTAACCTTGTAAATCAGTAGGATTTGTCTTTCGTAACCTTGACTTCAGATAACTAGAAAATATTTTTAAACTATTTTTTTGTTCCTTAAATTTCGACATCGGCGCAGATAAGCTCAAAAAACAGCCATTGTTTAACGCTGGGGCTAGTTTTTTTCTATCAATTATTTTATCCGCTGATTTACGCTGAACAGGGAAAAGGGAAACTATTGAAAGTAGATGGGTAAAGAAAAAATCAAAATATGACCAAAATCATCGTTTTTTTGTTCGAACGCAAATTAAAAACTGCAAAATAATGACGTGAGTTCACAGATAAAAATTAATGTATTGATTAAGTTAAAAAAAAACAATTCTGCAATAGGTGCAAGTTATGGTTTAGCGGTAGCACTGGTTTCATTTTAAACAAAACAATGGTTTTAAAAAACACAAGTGTTGTGTGTTTCGGTACCATATTCAAAAAACTAGTGCAAGATTTGAAATCTTGGTGCAATATTGAAACTTGAGCAAAGTTTAAAACATTTGTGCAATGTTTTTCCTAGAGCACAAATAACTTTTCTGATTTATGTTTGACTCGAAGGGGCAGTACAACAGTGCCGAAAAAAAATTAGTTCAACGGTGCCGAAAATGAAAACTTTGTTCCACAGTGCCAAAAATATGAACCAGTTTCAACATATTAAGTGCCGCAATCAAAAATTAAACGGCGAACGTTTTCAATCTTCAGTGACGCTTAAAGATTTTCAAAAAGAAAATTTGCAATTTAGACGTTTTGGCGCCAAAATAATTGTTTAATTTGCAGTTGCAGACATTTTGGCGGCGAATTGGAGTGATTTTCTTTGATAATTGGCTCCAGTAATTTCCCGCTCTTAAGAAAACGCGTTTAAAATATTCTGAAATTTTCCCGCCTTTTTCGGCACTGTTGTACTTCGGCACTGTTGTACTTCGGCACTGTTGTACTTCGGCACTGTTGAACGGCCCCGATTTTAGTGGTTTTTAGCTTTCAGTTTTTGTGGTAACGATTTTGTTGTTGCCCTTAAAAGTTTTGCTTATTTTTTATTTGGGACCATGTGTAGGCCCTCTCGTGGTGCTCCTGTTTGACCATCAAATATGTTGGTCTAGCGCTAACTTCACATTAACAATACATATATACTGGGTTATTTTACAATCTGTATTACGAGCAAGCAAAAAAATCCGACAACAATTTCATTACTTGAACTACTCGAAATTTTTTATGATGCGTGTCTCATGTTGCGATTTTGCGAGCCATGTTGCGACTAATGTTTCGCGCGACCCTTGTTGCGACTTAGTGCGACCCATATTGCTACTTTGCGCGACCCGTGTTGCGACTTTGGGCGACCTATTTTGCGACTTTACGCGACACATGTTGTGACTTTGTGCGAGCCATGTTGCGACTTTGCCGGACACATGTTGCGATTTTGTGGGACCCAAGTTGCAACTTTGCGAGACTCAAACTTCTTGCAGGATTATGGATTATCGGTGGCAGAAAGTCCTTTTCGGCGACCTGATTCAGTTGCAACATGATCGCGGATCTCGGCCTGGGAATCAAACATAATGAATTACATACATGTGCAGTCACAATTTTGAATCAAATCAAATGAAAAGATTTCTAATGTTCTGTGCATTAACTTGTTTAACTGCAAAAATTGATGATATAAAGCACATGGCACGTATTCTTGTAACTTCGAATCGATTATGAAATTAGTTTAAAAATTGACCTCCTAGTTACAGCGATGAAAATTTCCCACTTGATTGTTGCTTCAATTCTAAGTCAATATGCTGATGGTAACCCGTTCTCTACGTGGATTGTTTTTGCTTACACTGGCGAACTAGGACCCGTCAAAGAAAACCCATATGGTACGCTAAAGCTTGATCAACTTTTTTCCCATGACTTTAAACTCGCACAAGATACTTATTTAAGCAGACAAAAAAAGTTCACCTGAATGAATCTAAATTGCGGGGTCTTTTCTCGGTGGTCAGTCAATAAGCAGAATGGTCTAAGAGCAGAATGGGTCCAAGAGCAGAAAAATAGAAAAATATCAACTTCTATAAGCTAATCGGTAAAATAATTATCAGAAATGTCAATAATAGCAAACCAACGAACATTTTATGCATAATTTGAGCAATTTAATCAAGATTTTTAAAAAAAAATTAATGAAAAAACTTAATGAAGTTAGTCAATTCGTGCAGAATTTATTTGTTTTCTTGGTATTTTTTGACGATTCTAATAATTGTTTTATCAATTAGCCCGTATAAACCAATATAAGTCAATATTTTTCTGTTTGTCTGCTCTTGGACCCATTCTGCACTTGGACCATTCTGCTGATTGCTCCGCCTCCACCAACATAAAAAGTTTTTGAATATATAGATTTTCTGAAAATTAATTTAAGCTATTTAAAATGTGGCCGCCGAGGTTGAATTTCTGAAAATCGAAATGGGGGGGGGGGGGAATGAACGCCCCCTTTCCTTTCTCTCAGGGATTCGACCCCCTGCCGACCCAAAGGGTCCCCCCCATTGGTACTTTTTAAGAAATCCATTTTTGGCCGAGCGACCGTAGGAAGGTTTTAAGTATAAAATTGAAAGTGTTTTTCAGTTCCCATGCTATGACCTACAAAAACTTGCAAGAAAATAGTACGACTAGTTTTCTTTCATAATGATTTTTTTTGTGTTGTCATAAATCAGAATTGCTTCACTAACCTGTCATAAAAAATACGCAACTATCAGTCCTGTATTTTTTGTTTTTAGCATGGCCGTTCAAGGATATTCCCGCTGCAAACGTTCTCGATGGTCAGTTATTTACTATAATAAAAGATGAATATGATAGGGTCAAAATTGAAGTTTCTGGTTTAGAAAATTTTAACTTTATCTACCAAAAGTGGTACAGTAAAAACATTGGTCTACATTTTCTGCCTGTTATTTTAAAACCCAAAATGAAATCTTTTCAAAATTCGACTTTGTTAAATCATTTTAGGAATCTACAATCTGATCCGAATGTCTCTCGGAATGTAAGCTGCTCTTTCTTTATTCTTTGCCCAGACTCTTTTTCTTTCTTATATACTTCCAGTTTTCATTATGGGGCCTAACTGCACACAGGATAGGCACACAATTTGGTGTGAGGTCAATGGAATCCAGATACAAGTTTCTAAACATGTTAAAATATTGTCGGCACGATCAAAGAAATTACAAGATCAAAGAGAGCGGCCCTTTATCAAAGTCATTGCTAGTTATCAAATCAGTGGTCGTCTGGATCTCAAGACTCTTTTTGTTTGAATTTATTTGAAAATTTATTTGAAAGCAGAAAAAAGTAAATCAATGAAAGGCAAGTTTATTTTTTTTGCTTAAATAAAAGAATATTCAGCTTCGATTAATTAGTCACTAAATACTTCACCAAAAACTTAAAATCCCCTTACTCTAATTTAATACCAGCAATGGTTGAGACTACTACCCAGGGATGGCTTGGATTTCTTGGTTTAAAAAGTTGGCACGTAACCAGTCCTTATTCCCAACCTAGCGTACCATCTGAAGAGCATTCTTACATTGCGAGTACATAAATTGAGTTTTAATAAGTTCTTGGAAGTCATAACACAAAAAGTGCATTTCTGTTTTTTCTGCTTTAATCATTTTTTTTTGATGCCATTTTAACAGACAGTAAAGGCAATGAAAAATTTAATGAGGTCCTATCGTTTTTTTGGGTAATATTTTCGGTTCCCCCCTTTTTAACTCTAATTAACTTAACACCCTACAATTTCACTCCCTACTTTTTGTTGCCTTAGCAATATAACATCGCTACATTTTAAAACAATTTCTATGACTTAACACCGTTTTAATCCAAAATGAAAAGAAAACTTACTTCAAAGGGGATTTCGGTAACCATCAAAGAATTAAACGAGAGAAACTTTTGCCATTTAAAGCCAGACAAATTTGCGCTACTTAATTCGCGTAAGTTTTGAATAGAAATGACCTTGCAAATGATTTCAATGAAACGTTTCAAACCAAAATGAAATGGCCT